AAAGAGTTAATATGCCCTATTTATATGCATTGAACAGTGTTTATATGTAAATAAAAGTCTAAATTAAATCTGATTATCATAGAAAGCAATCGTGGCTCTTCAGAAAAAATGGATTAAGCTGCTCGATTCATAAGGTTTTCTTTTACAATGTCTTTTTGAACTTTTTGAAGTTTAGTTTGAATGGAGGGACAGAAATTTCTTAGGTTTCATTAAAAATATCTTCATTTGTGTTTTGAAGATGAACAAAAGTTAAATGGGTTTGGAACGGTGAGTAAATCATGACAGCATTTTCATTTTTGGGTGAACTATCCCTTTACAACAACAAAAAAAAAGGAAAGTGGCAGAGCCCGTAATGCAACTGGTATCAACATCAGAATGGCTTTCAGCTGATATGGTGACAACTGGGAGGCTTCAAAAGATTTACAAGTGATCCAGAGATGGTCATTTTCTTGCTCAAATCTTCAAAGACTCAAGCTTTAAATAAGTGTTGGTGTTGCAAAAAGGGGGGAAATTTTACAGGGTCTTCCTTTCTTTTTTCTTAGATGGCTCTTTGGTCTCTGTGAGTGTACTAGCCACCAAAGAAATGCTTTTTCTCCTTGATGAAGACCACCAATGGAGCAAGAGCCAACCTGAGGGCCAAATGAACAGTGGGAAAGTGACCGTTCAGGAAACTCAGCCAATCAGTAGCGTCAGTTCCATTAATCTGTTCTCATCACATCCATGCCAGGTGGACCTAAAACTTTATGATGAGGTGTGTGGGTACATCTTTACATGTTCTCACCTAAACCACAAAGAAACCAAGAGCAGTTCTCTGAAGGATGTAACAGGTAAACATATAGCTACTATATGCATAAAATAAATGGAGATTTTTGCGGTTTGTTTTGTTTTTGACAGATGGCCAAGAAAGAAAAGGCTTGGTCTTTACATGCTGAAGATGAAGAGCTGGTACAAGACCTGGTGAACTGGATCACAAATCAGTGGGAAACCATGTTTGGGGTCAAACTGGCTACTATCAAGCAGTAACCATTAGCCTCAGTGTTAAGGAAAAGCACCTACCTTGCATCATGAAGATTCCTGCCCCAACCTGCTTTTAATCTGTATTACTGTCTTGGTGTAAATGTGGACTGTTTGTCTTTTTGTCTCCATATAAGACCCAAATTCCATTATTATCTTCTCTTGGTTGTGCTAATATCTCCTCTATATACAAATTGTGCAGTAACAAAGCTGTGCAGAGTGCCTTTTTGGCTTTGTCACCAACCAACACCAACACACCTTATAATACATAACTATGCATGCGCACACACTTTATTTGTAAATAGGTTTCTGTAGATGATATGAATGTGGAATTGAAGGTATATTTGTATCTCAGGGTGAAAAGCCTTTCAATGTGCTCTCAGAAAGGTTCATAATTGGGTTATGCAGATCACAGGAGAATAAAAGGTTTACTTGAGTGTTGGTGGTGTAAATGCAATGTTAAGACACGTTACTGAACTTAAATACCATCTCACTCTTTGAAACTTTGTTGAAGATATTTATGAACTGTATAGGTACACGATTCTCCATTAATGAATTTGGACTTGAAGTGTTTTGTGTGTTTATTTGTTTTATAAGAAATCTAGCTCATAAATGTAAAGTGTAACTGTTGTTGTCTTCCAGGCACATACAGAGCGGGGGGGGGACTCAAATAGCTATGAATAGAAAATTTAGTACAACCACATTTGCAGTTTTGTGCCAAGTCGTTTGTGTCACTCGGATGTTCTGCACTTTTATGTCTTTATAATTGCTTGAAAAATAGTGAAATGGCTTTGTTTTATAAGTACACGTTGTTAAAGTTGAAAGCACATGGTCAGTAATCGTAAAATGTATTTCATGTGTATTTATTCATCTTTGTACTGATCTCCAGTAGGGAATAATAATAACTTTTATTTTTGTAAACAATAAACTCTTTAAATATTACACAGCTTTTCATTATGTCCAATAGATTGCAGAGGGAGAGATAGATCTAAGAATGATTGTTGCACATAATTGAATTAGTAATTCTTTTTTTGGTAAGTTTCAAATTATTCCACTGTGAAAACAAGTCATTCATTTTCTGCTGCATTTCTGTTCTGTTCTTTTTCATTCTCCAAAGATTACTTCAGTATGAGCTCACTTTTTCTAAAGTGATGTATTCAAATTCCTAGGTTGAGTATTTGCTGCTATGACACATTTTATGCTATGACAAATATGTTGGTTATACTTTTTTTCAATTAGTTTTTTTACATATATTAGAAAGTAATCTTTCCACTCTTTTCATTACCAGTTTTCAGTCTGTTATGATGAAACTAACTTTCTTTCTTTACTGATATTGTTGATGTGTATGTTTTTCTTCTCTCTCACTTTCTCTTTTTGTATGTTAGCAGTGTTGCAGCAATTAGTCTTGTGATCTGTTCTTGCTTGCTGACTGTGAAGTGTGAAATCACTTTATGCATTGTGTTACCAAGTTTTATGACAAAATAAAAACACATTAGAAATCTCCACATTATTAACTTCACAGTTATATTGAATACAGTCAAATTAGTAATCTGTAGTAATCTTTTTTTTCTCAAACATTATTATGAGCCGTGTCAGACACATGGATGGACACATGGACTGTCTCGATCACATGGAGCACTTCACTGTCAATAAACAAAAATCGGCACACTGCCACGTACTGCTCTCAAAAACAAAGTTTATTAAAATCACAACGTTTCAACCCTAAGGTCTTCCTCAGGCAAAACCATTATATTAAACAAATACAACTGGACAGCTGCTGCAACATCCTATAAACCTTGCATAGACATGTCAAACCCATAGTTCACATCTGAATGTTAAGCAATATTTTGTGTTTGTGAGGGAAAATGAGTTGCCTCATCTAAATGTTTAAGGAAATGAAATGAAAGAGAAAAATTATTGAACATTGTAGCCTATTTAAGTTGCAGCTTGGCCCTGTTATATTTTGGGGATTGCTTTTCTTGGATACTGATATATGACAAGGTTGTGTGCCCTGTAGAATTGTTACAGAACCGGCTTTACTGATAAGATGCGCGTTAAATATCGCATGCGATTAATCGTGCAGCCCTAATTTGAAGTGAGGTAGCAAACAAGATACAAAATTACAATTTGAATGAAAGGAAGTAGAAGTATATTTTGTAACTAGAAAAAGAATGTTCATCAAGAAAAACTTATTTTAGGTTAGACAGAAACAACTACAAACAGTACTGATATCTGCAGATACACCACCTATTGAAATTTATTTTAGTTGATATATTTAATAAATTAACTATGATTTTATAGGGGAAATGACACATATTTACATTTGTTTATATATATATATAGAGAGAGAGAGAGATAGATAGATAGCGATTTAATAAATCCCCTTTCCTGTCATTCCAATTCGACTTCCTTTGAGACGTGGCCAATTCAGTTCGTGGTCCTCACGAACGAATGCATTCTTAAATACTGCATTTTGCCCCAATCGTGATAAATCATATATATTTTCTAGTCAATATTTACAGTGGAAACTGAATGATTATTTATTTATTTATTGCCAGGAAACGAATGAGCTCAGGTTTAAAGGCCTTACGTGTGGGTGTAGACGAGGTGAAAACGCTGCTTAGGATGGATGCTCACGTGGTGTGGCTTCCAAACTGTGGGTTAACCGTGAAAAAAAGGGAGTGGAAGTTAATTGAGAGATAAGTGACACGGTAGCGTCGGAGTTTTGGTTAAACATATGGGTATTGTCTAACAGCTGAGCACAGGAGTACTAATCACCTGTTGGACGAAGGTATGTTAATGTTTTTTTGTTTGTTTTGTTTTGTTTTGTTTCTTACCTTGTTTAAAGTGTAACGGTGCTGTGTATTTACCGTAGCAACGTGATTTTTGAGAATTCAGATTTAATTTAATTGATACAAAGTTATCGCGTATAAAACTTAAAAGAAAGTTTAATCAGCTCAGATTGCTGAAACTTTATTTTATCGAATAATAAATCGAGTGTGGAAAAGAAGTGTCGAGGTAATTTAGAAACATAATATAAAAAAAAAAAAAAATGTATTTATATATATATATATATATATATGT